ACTGTTCAATGATGAATCGTAAACATCTGCCAAATCTCAGAAAATCCTTCGTTGGCACTTATACGGGACTTGAGAAACAGTGAGGAACCATCGACGGTGGCACGCAAGGATTTTGCGTGGAACCCGTCCTACGTATTCTGAAGCAATTCTTCAAAATAATCCCCAAAAATGTGAAGTTCCATGCAAGCTTCAGCTTGCAGAATCAATTCCACAGTGTAACCCATTTATATTGAATCTGAAATGCTGACCAACTCGTTGAAAGTGATGAATTCGACAAAATTGGCTCTGCACCAGTTCTGCACCACCCTTGCCTTATGGAAATCCCTTCCTTATGAAAGATACAACAATGTTTTCCAAATCTTAGTATGGCAATTTGCCGGCGGAACGAGTGCGCGAAGTGCCAGCAAATTCCGTTGCACACCATGCTGAAATGGCTCGTGGCCGTCTCGAAAACACGGCCTTCCCATCCAGAATGAGTGCATTCGGTTCGGAGCGATTAGTGGATCCATGATTGGTACCGCGAAAGGAATCTTTGAATTCGCCAAGGAATCGAAGATAAGGTGGGCCGGACACGTCATGCGATTTTGCGATGACCGTTGGACCAGAGCGGTTACCGACTGGATCCCTCGGGACGTCAAACGAACACCTGGACGACCGCCGGCCCGATGGTCAGACTTCTTCACGAAAGCTCTGAACGAAAGGAATGAAGGACTTCGTGTCCCTCGAGCGAGGAGGGTCCACTGGACAACTCTTGCACGCGACAGGGACGAATGGAGACGTTGCTGGCGCCCGCTCGAGCAATTCGATGATCAACGGGACGACAGGTGATACAGGTGAGGTGATGATTGGTACCCAGATGAAAACCAATACGCTGATAATTCTTGCGTGCCGGAAACTCTCAAAGTTGAAGTTCAGTGATCTAGAAATGGCGGCAGAATCACTCAGCCATCGTAACAATCATACATATTGGTGGTCAAATAAGATAATTATGAACAGGTCAACACAACAAAACCAAAATGAGCGCAGCAGTAAACAGCATCTTTGAATAGTGGTTCAAATTGTATGCGCATCCGTTGTTGCCGTAATTTTGGCGCACCCTGTGGTTAGTATTCACGTTCCATACGAAGTTGTTAGGTGGAATGTTCATTCAGTGCTCTGAAGTTTCGACTAAATCGTCCTATCGTAACCCTAAACGTCTGTCATTTATTAGACAAGTGTGACACTGTCAGTCTCGAGGGGTCTGGGAGACGCGCCAACGGTTGGCGAGAGCCTGCAAGCGAGTTAAAGGAGCTCTACGTGGTGTTTGCACCCTCTGCGCATGATGAGCTCTTTCGCGTTTTCTCACTACCCGCAACGCCTAAGTCTTCCCATCGTGTCACTGACGAGCTCACCAATTTTAGAAGAAAATGAGCTACAAATTTGATTGCGACCCGTGCCTTTTATGGCATGTCCAAGGGTCAAACAGCTGTGGTTCTTGTACACCAATACGAATGTATTGGTGCGAAATGGGCCGGCAGTAAAGAAAAAGGAAAAGAATCCGTCGAAAACGTTCAGGTTAAGGGCTCACTCACCTTCTAATCGGCTGTGCTAAGGCAATGAGAGACTGAGCACGGAGAGGATGGACGAGAGAACGCAACGGATGAGAGAACGCCGTATACAGCCAGCTTCGTACGTCGAAATTGCGACCTACTTTGCAAGGCGCTGGTGCTGTTTTCGGGGATCTCCGTTCACAAGTGCCACATCCGTGCTTTTCCTCTGGGCGCCTATCCCAAAAACCGAAGGGAACTGTTCACACGTTTTTTGCCTGGGTGTGCCTCTGAGCAACTCATTGAGACGTGGTAGGGGAGGGTGAGAGAGTTCCGTTCTAGTTCAGATCCAGCCTAGATAAGAAAGCTGCATTTTCCATAATCGGAACTATTCTGAATAATTTTTCAGCTTACTCTCTTCCAGGGTGAATAACGGTCGAGGATTTCCTCGACCATAGCTCTCTACCATGCGAGAGTAGTGCCGAGAGTGAACATCCGCGCGGAGAGCACAGACGGCACGCGCATGGCGAGTGTGAATGTCCGCGCGAGAGATCGTGTCTGATCGGGCAGAGAATCCTCGACGTGCCGTTGAGGAATCCTCAAGCGATATTCACCCTGCTCTCTTCTATTCCCAAACGGCGTTGAGCGGTAAACATATGAGTGCTAATAAGCTATGGCGTTCTCGTCTCTGGGCGAGGTTTTGTCCATGACCCAGTATTCTTGTGTAACATTTGCAACGCAAACTACGGGGTTAAAAAAGCAGTTGAAGGCACAGCCCAGGCAGAAATCGTGTAAATTCCCTCTGATCTGTAGGATGGACCTATAGAGGGCAATCACAGATGTGGCACTCCCGTGCATGGAAATCACCCGACAAGAGCGCTAGCTCCTTACAAAGTGAGATTCAGCCCGCAACTGCGCCTGCACTTTTCTCGCAGCGAGAGCGAGCTCTGCAGGCGTGGGTGTGGATTACGGGTGGTGGAAGCTTCTTGCGCCTTTGCTGCGCACATTCAAGCCGTGAAGTAGGCGTGAAATTGAAGCTTGTCCGCCTGTATACTACGCTCGGGCATGGAGCAGGGGAGCGTGCTAGTCCCGAATCGTGCCTTCGACAAAAGTTGAACTTCTTTAGCGCCTATCATCAGTTGCGCTCTCCCGCCTCATGCTCTCCTGTCCGCGCTCTTTCTCTATTCCGCGCTCTTTCTCTCAATGCCTTAGCACAACCTATTACGAAGGTGAGTGAGCCCCAACCTGAGCGTTTTCGACGGATTCTTTCCTTTTTCTTCACTGCCGGCCCATTTCGCACCAATACATTCGCATTCGTGTGCAAGAGCCACACCAATCTTATCCTGGGGCATGCCTTTAGCAAGCAAAACAAGTAAATATTTTCATCCAATTAAAATGTTTTTGTATATATCGTTGAATTCGCCATTTCTTCTGTATCACATATGCGTATTGCTTCAAGATCGTGCACTTCCTCAGCGGCATTCTCAATGGTGGAAAGAGCATTATTCCAATCCCGATTCCCGACATGCCTGTTTTGGGATTTTTCCAAGGAGTACGGTATTATTGTATAAACAATCTTGTTGCTCCTTTTAACTTTTCTTTTGATATGTTTATTTAATACTTCAGTACAATAACAGTCGTGACGAGGAGTACTGGGTTGAATCAGGAAAGGCTGACATCAATCGTATCGGTGAAATTGTTACTTGGGCAAACCAATCTGCACTGCCGGAATCCTGGTGGTCAACTCCGTACGCAAGAAGCATTAGAGGCTCTGGTAAACATCATTTCTTGAGGAGAATTATATGTATAACTTACTCCAGTGGAACGCTACAGAAAAAAAGCTCGCGCATTTCTCAACTTCGTCCTTTTCAATCAGTCCCACTCAAAGACAGGCCCTACGATCAAACTTGTGTAGTTTTTGACCACAAAAATGAAGGCTGAGGAGCAAAGTGAATCGGTAGTGAAGAAAAAAAGGAAAAAAAGTTGCGGAAGGCTAAAATGAAGAGCTGTCTCATTTTTACAGTTCGGCTCTGCTGAGAATGTGCGACACTGAGCGCAGAGAACAGGGAATAAGCAAGAGAGCACAACAGATGAGAGGACGTAGACACCCTTATGCTGCGAATGAGTGAAAATGGAAGCGGCTGAAGCAGTGTTGGAAAGGCTCTAGCACCTTGTCCGTGCCCTTCGAGCCGATAACACCGAATATCTGCTATTTTACTGAAGAGCTCTACGCTTCTCATGAGGCGGTGGATACACCCTTGTTGTGGGGCGTGCCTTTGATGGTACGAATACCAATCTTCAATCCATCTTTCTTGGCTGGAGGCCTGCAGACCTTCCGAATATAAACACCACATCGAAATCACCACCCTCACAAGGGAGGTCTTTCAGGGCAAGGTGCGCTTTTTGGAAACGGTTGTAGGGACGCATGTATGGACCACAAAACCATGTTTCGTTTTCGCTGAACGGTTTTAGTAGTACCAAAAAAGTGGTGAATAATACCTTGATGGTTCAATCCCCGCGGCGACTAAATTTTGCAATCAAGGTTGGCGGCCACTTGTTGGCTTCAAAATGGTCCTGACGATGAATTTGACATCTGATTTTGATATTTAGCGCGATTTGGCACCAGGCGCCAACCCAAATGCAAAATTTAGTCGCCACGGGGGATCGAACCCTTAACAGTACCTTATGCTTCTTTTTTGGTACTGCTATAACCGTTCAGCGAAAATGAAACATGGTTTTGCGTTCCCTACATGCGTCCCTACAATATGCACAAAACCGTTTTGAAATCAAAATCGTTTTACGCTATGATTTTTGGAACTTAAGCTTCATTGACGCTGTAAGTCGAGGACGAATTTTACGATGAAAAGGCAGCCTACTGGAAATAGAGTTTGAGATGGTCAGTGATGCACGAAAGAGAAAAAAACTGAAAAATGGCCTAGAACCCAAGAAATGGACCCCTTCCTTGCCCGTTGATTTGCGCATTGATGCGACTCTCATCGTGTGCCCTCTTCAACGCTAACGCTCTCTCTGCTGAACGGCTAGAGACTCAGACACGAGACGACGCGGGAGGGAGAGAGTGCATACCGGGCCAATATCGCGCCGATTGGGCCTCAGACAAAGCCATGCAACATCGCCGGGGCACATCCTTTGATGCGGATTGCGTATCAGTCTCCATCCTAAGGAGGTCAACCTGTCTCCTCAGTGGATGAGTTTCCCATCCTTCGACCTTCGTCCTTACCTTCAAAGCTCATTCCCACTTGCAGTTGTTCGGTAGTTAGAAAGTTTGAATACCACAATCATTTTCAGATTCGGGAAGTTTCTGCAAGATGCATTTGGAGAAAACTGATGAGCTGCCGTTTTTCCAGTCCTTTATGTGTCGATCGTTCACGAAAACGTTCCTCGGAGAAACTACCATCCACGACATTCCCTCATACACGTACGATGAGTTTTCTGAGGAGCACATTCTACGATTGATTAAGCATGGATTATGGCGCTTAGAATAAATGTCTAACAGTTGTGGTGGCTGACCCATTAGTATTGAATCGGAACAAAAATGTTGCTTATTTCTCAATTGCTAAGAACCGCTCAAACCGCACTGCGCGCTAACCGTGTGGGCGGGGTTTGCGGCACGCCCTTGGGGAATCTCGTTGGTCAGACTTTGCTCTTGATTTGGCAAAATATATAAAGCACAAAGAAGAGATGGAATCAACCAGTAAGGCTACCGTGTGGACGGGCGCAAACCCCGCCCATATGCCAGCGCGCAGTCCTATTCATGTAGTCTTAGCAGCTCTTCATTGCTTTCTTTTATTACGGGTGCGCAAATCACAACATATGCTTCCATCTCCAGACACAATAATACCAGCTAAACAATCGCGAAATGTGTTTCAAATTTTCATTTCAAAAGTTCAAGAATCAATTGAACTTTTCTATAGATTTTCCGTTCCGTATGAAGACTATGACACGACAGCTGATGTGAATATCGGTTTTCGCTATAGGAACATTGAGAAGGTCAACTATTTCCCAGACTGGCCAGCTTGTCCAAAGTAAGCCACGTGTTTTTCGAATATTTTGTATAGAAATTTCAAAAGTCTAGCAACTACTGGCGTGGTTTTTCCGTAGATCGAACACTGATACTTATACATTTGCGTAAACTCTTGAATACAGGAGCTGTTCACGTTCTCCAAAAACTTAGTTTATTTGCCCAATTTTCAAGGTGTTCCATTCTCACGAGGCGGGAAGTTGCAAAGCATAGCTTTCATGCTGCAATCCGGTCTTCAGATGGAAGTGCAATGGCAATAGAGGTGCTTACCACGCGCAAAGTCTGTGAACCAAATAGAACCCCATCCTGGCCAACCAAGCCTTCCTCCATGCGGGATGGTCAATTAGGGAGTTGTCTGGGAGGATAAGAACACTGACTGTACATCGGCTGGCTTTCGCAAGACACAGTATAGGCTAAGTGGCCTTAGGAATGCCGCTGCGATTCCGAATGGAAGTGGAATGCGTGGCGCATTCTTAATGAGACTTATCAACACCAAATGCTTTGCTCATTACCTTTTAACGCAGTTTTCGTGAGCTACACTGTTCGTTTTCCTGGTAAGTGTATCAGCGGGAACTAGAAAATCTGGTACCAATACACCCACCCCGAATGTTGGAAGGCTTGGATGGTCCGGACGACGCACGACCGACAGGATTAAATCTCCACACCGTGCGCGTGGTAAGCGTGTCACCTGCCATTCCCGGTTCTATGCGCTGACTGTATAGTGACAAAAATTGCCCATTACGGGGCACATGATCATGGGATTGAATCGCAGATCAGATTCAGTCTAGGCAAACCAAATTTCTGTAGTTGATCGAATGCTGAGAGGCGATAAGCTATACAGGACACATTGGTAGACTCTTTCCAGAAAAAGTCGTAATTCAGGTTGAAAATTGCCGTAAACATGTTTTCCGAAAGTCACGCCAAGGGTTAAAAAAATTACCGAGCACTTGTTTTTTCAGTCGAAACCCTAGCAACTGCAAGAGTCCGAATTCCGTGAACTGTGGCCTTCAGCGGAATCTTTGCCACGATTGCTGCAATGGCAGCTTCGTTGACGGCACTTATCTAATTCCGCCTGGAATTTTTCCGCTTGTCTGCTATCCAGGTAACTTTTTGATTGCTAAGGCAACTTGCTAAGAAGCTTCTCAATTCTCGTTCGGTCATCGGTTGACCTTTCAGGTCGCCTTCAACCAACTCCGTTTGCTGTCATGTATTCCCCACCGCACTTCCTTTACTCACCGGCACAAGTTATCAACTCCGTCGTCGGTGTCAAGCCGAACAACGACAGCCATCGACCGATGGTTTACAACCATGAACCGGTGAATTACTTCTCTCATGTATATTACTTTGTCTTCATTTTAGTGGCCTGAAATCCGACCAATTTGTAGGATTCCAGATTGTAGAAAATTCATATGTATGCTGAGCAAGGAGGCGTGGAGGCAGACTGATAGCGGGTCTTTGTAAAGAAGCTAGGGCGTGTTATGTAGAAGCTTCATTAGCTCGAGCATTTGAAATTCGGGGTCAAAACGACGGAGTTTTCTGAAACGCCTAGTAACTTAGGGATCGTCATTGATGTACCAAAGAAGGAAAAATCCAGAAAAGTGACCCGGGGAACAAAACCTCTACTTTGCCGGTCGATTTGCGCATTGATGCAACTCTCATTGGTGCTGCCCTCTTCAACGGTAACGCTCTCTCTGCTGAAAGGCTGGAAAGGAAACCACGCGAGAGGGGGCTTACTGGGCCAATTGAGCGCCATTTGCGCCGCGGAGAGGGCCATGCCAGATTGCAGGGTCGATTTCCGACCTTATCATGGATCCTGCGCTTAAGCGATATCTTGTTGCCATAGGATTGCTACTGTGGTTAATGGATCGGCGCCTCAAGGAGAGGGTCGGAGACAGGGTCAACCGTCACGTTCGAACATTTTCGGGATTTTTGCGACCCCCTAGCTCTCGAGGGGGTCCAGTTGCGACCCCCTGTTTTTGTTAATAAGAGTGCTAGACATGAATCCGTTGCGCCAGAAAGCGTCTGCGCGTCGTCGCGTCGGCCTTGGAGCGCGGCAGGTATCACCCGGGCGCTGGAAGAACGGGACGCGGCGAAGAAAAAATTTTAGAGGGGAATAACTTTCTTGGGACGTATTTTTTTGACTTGTTGAGGTAGATTTTGATTGTGCCTGAGGTGCGCTTCCAGAAAACTACAAGGATTGCCTAACTCTCCGGAAAGTACTTCTGTTAGAAGTGGAAAACCCAAAATTCTAAGAAGGCGCACCTTCAACTTTGAAGGCCCATAAAATCTTTCGTATGCGACATTTTGGAAATCTGTAAAAAGTTTCAGAAACTTCAAATATTTCTCTAACAAAATAGTATAAAAAGTTTAGTGATTGTCCCCTTTTTCAAAAAATTGTCCCGTTCGAACATTTTCGTGCAAAAGCGAGTTTTTGGGCTTTCAGCGACCATAACTCACTTCATTTTCATTTCTGTGATGCACTTTTTTCATGGGGTGAAAGTACAGGATTTGCTCTTTCTAACAAGCACCAAACCGTTTTTCAAAATCCATTTTCCGAGAAAATCACACGTTCGAACATTTTGTTCCCATAGGTTTTTGAGCAGCACATGCGAGTTTTTGAGCTTTCAGCAATAATAACTTCCTTCAAAGAACTTGTTGGGGAGGGGCGAAGACATTTTTGAAGACTACGAGATTTCTGCTTTCTTATGTGTTTTACCGTTGTCTGGAAGAATCGTCCTCAGAAAATAGGTCCCGAAGAACTTTAATTTCAGCCCCGAGAAGTCAAACCTTTCATAGGGATGCATTCAACTGTTCTTTATTCCTCAAGGAAAACACCGTAATTTGCCTAAAACTGTCTCTCTGTGCATAATTAATCGAATCTAATGCGGTCTGCACAAACAATTCTTGCCCTCGGATACGCCACGCACGCGCCTGTGGCTGGCAGTCCTCGAAATTGCGACCCCCTTCCGACCAAAATGCGACCCCTTCGTTCGAACAGTTCGAACGGACGGTTGACCCTGGTCGGAGATCGTTTCAAATTTTCTTTTCCTTCCCGCCTATTGAGGACGGTTGAATTGTAATGTACAGGGGGGGGGGCAAAAAAAGACATTTTGCCCAGGTCGCACTTCGGCCTTTTTCTTCGCATTTTCGCATTGAGATTGCCGTCGTTGACGGAAGTTCCTCAGCAAAATATTCCCTAAATGTCCTCTATAAGTACACGCAGGCCCTCCTTCACTGCCCTCACCGTCTTCAGAATATGACGTCATCTGTCACCGTCGTCGAGCTCAGGAGGCCTACAGTAACTGCTTCAGCCTGAAGCTCTTACATAATTTCTTGGATCGATTCAACGTGGGATAGTTTCCTAGGGACATTAGCTCTAACTATGCAAACCCCTCGGAACCCGCCCTTCGGAACCCGTCGTAACGGTACACGATCAGTCGAGAACCCCATTGAGCTCGACCAGAGCACCATGTTTCCGGGGCAAATTTTTCTGATGCCGTCCACGTAGATGGCCACTATGAAGATTTTCTTATGAAATGAAATGCGCTCTTCAATTCTAAGTTGGGAGCACACGCTTTGAGCTGAGCAAAGTGTGATTAAATCCATTTGAGTCTGGAGACAAAATGTCTTTTTTATTGGCCCCCCCCCGTATGTACATGTTTTGATGTAAACATGTGCTGAAAGTTAAGAAAACATAGCTCACGCACAAACTTACATGGGTTTTTGATCCCTGACCCTGGGGAAAGCTCAGCACATGGTCCGCAGACGATACTAAGCGATTTTTGCCGGTCAAACCCTTGCTGACATAGAAGAATAGCTGGCAGGATTCAAATACGGCAGATAAACAGGTTGTTTTCAGTATTCCGGTACCGTAACGGAAGTGCTCTACCGACTACAGGCTTCGATGCCGGTGATGAGAAGCAGAGTAGCGATGTGAGCGCAAGTTACTGATCTTTATTTCGAAGCAAATGTAAAGGTCCCTTTCAGTCAAAATCGTCATCTCACGCAGTCCATCATTCCAATCTTCTGGCAGGATTCCCATGCAGTTCTGTACGATGACACCTATAGAATGATTTGGCTCGGTTTCGTTTTCATACCGAAACTGGTCGACTTCATGAAGTATTCGCTTGCTGTGCTGGCTCTCGCATTGCTCGTTTTCGTTGCGATGCGACGTTTACGACGGGGACGAGGTCGAGTGACCGGCGTTCAACAGGACGACGACCTGAAGCTGACTTCTACAAATACAATTGAAGACTGAAAAATGACATCATACAAATTATATTATATTTTAGCTATTGCAAAACGGGTTCCTAATAAATTTTTACCGTACTTCTAGAGTGTTCGAGGCCATCCGTTTATAACGCTCCTTGGCGTGAATATGTCTCGCAACAGTTTGATACCTCTTCAACACATTGACGTCAGCATGGCGCGCATGCGCGTCAGATTTCCAAGCGGCCAAGTGCACAGCCGGTCGCACACGAGCCATTGGGGACCCCTAGGCCTGGGGCTTTCATGTCTATCAATGTTGAATGTTTTGTAGGAAGTAAATGTACTGTATTATCATGGCCACTTATGTTTAAGCTGCCAATCGATGGTAAACAGGCACTTCCGATTCTGAGGTGACGAGAGGACCGGGTCTACTAATTAGTGTAGACGACTCATGGGTCAAAACGCTGGTGTTAGATGTGATTGAAACCTCACAGGTGGCAATCACCATGTAAGAAGTGCTAAGTAAAGAATTTGTTGGCAGCCGTCAAAGCAGGAGGGGGAATGCTTTCGACTCCTCTCAGCTTTACAACTGATTCACTCGCAATTTACTAGACTGAAATACGATGCTCTAACTGACAAATGAAAAACACAATTTAACCTCAAACAGACACATGACACACTCGGGTGACAGAAGGATCTGCCACGGGAATATGGTGCAGGGTTCGAGCTCATCGAGTTCCACAAGACGCACCACAGGCCACCCGACGCTGCTCAAAATGCTGCTCGGCAAGGTCTTACATGTTCAGAGCTACTGTCTTCAGGAAATTGTCCACCAATGAATCGGTTGAAGAAGTTAGTTAGCAGCTTCAATTGAGCGAATGCGGCAGGCCGTTTTGGGGTTGACAGCAACAGTTGACTTAATTTTTGAAAATTGAAAGCAGAAGAAATTCCTTGCTCCTTATGCTGGGGCAGTTCAGAATACTTTAGAAGAATATTTCGAGACTTATTTTCCAAGAATCGCATCTTCAACGGTATCTTATGCA